GAGAAGTTTGAAATCAAGATTAATAAAGTCCATAGATCTAGTCCACGCTACTCCTTTGAAGCAGCAGAATCAATATAGTCTCTTCATTGTTAATTAACAGCAGTGGTAAATAAAAATAACACATGAAAACGTTTCAATACAACAGATATACAGTACATACTGTTTTTCCTTAACCTAACAGCAGGATTGAGAGTTAAGCTAGTACCCGCTAGCTACTAAACATGTTTGTGGTTGTTACAGTAAAAAATATAACTTTTTCTACTCAAAGTTTATGTTTTTTTGTCTAATTTTAAATTAATTATGTTAATACAGTATGTCAAAATGAAAAACATAACTGTAAATTCCGACACGTGAGGTTGTCCTGAAAAGAATGATACCAAACAAGGCAAAGTAAATAGTTTTTAAAGGTGAAATGTAGTAAAATCAAAAGTAGTTAAAAATGGCCACTTATACCCTAGACCCCAGAGGGTTAAACGTTTTTTTTTAAAGTAACGCAATAGTTACTTTTCAAGTAATTAATTACTTTTAGAATCTTGTAACTCAGTTACTAACTCAGTTACTTTTTTGAAGACATAACTAGTAACTATAATTAATTGCTTTTTCAAAGTAACTTGTCCAAAACTGGTCATGAACTGTGTTTTGAGCAAGCAGGATTGGACCCAAACACAGACTCATCAGGCAGGCGAAAAGTAAACTGAAAACAGCTTTATTGCTGGAAACAAGAACAAAACAAAACTAACACACAGAACTAACTAAACTGAGGAACAGAAAATAAACTAGAGAGGCAGACTATAAATGAGCCTGAACATAAACCATAATACAAAATGACATGAAAATACAGGAACACAAAACACAGGGTCAAATGACCCAGGACCATGACAACCAGATAAAGGATTTTGTTGCTGTTATATGCGTCATGTTCTTTGTAGATTTCTGATGACCATTTTGTTATTTGATCATGTCTCTGATTGGAATAGGTGAATGAAAATGTAGTGTAAAGTACTTTGGGGTCCATAGGGACTAAGTAAAGCGCTATATAATCAACAGATTCGCACTGCAACCTGGTTTGCCTCTTATCTGTAGTTATTTTTATTTAATTTAATAACTGTACAGTACTCTGTTTATAGTAACCATTGTCCTTAATGTGAATATGTAAGAAAAATTTTGTATGTTTATGTTCTGTGTACTGTTTGTTTGTATATGTGTCTTTCTGGCTGCTGTTACAACCAAATTTCCCCTTGTGGGACAATTAAAGGATTATTCTATTCTATTCTATTCTATACAAATACAGGCTATTTACCATTTGTTTCTGTATTTCTAGCTCCCTAAGTTCTTTAGTATCTCCTAATTTCCAGTATTAGGTTTTGTTTCTATACCTTCCCTGTCTCTGTCTCAGTGTCAGGTCTGCTGTTATGTTTCCTGTTTTACTTTGACAGTCTGGGTCCCATGTTAATGTTTTTAGTTTTGCTTCCCCTTGGTCTCGTCATGTTTGATTACTCCCAGCTGTGTTCTCCGCCTGTGTCTCGTTCCCTCTTTATCCCTCTGTGTATTTAAGCCCTGTGTGTTCCTTTGTTCAGTGTTGTCATCTCCTCCATCCCTCACTGTGTGTGCTGTTTGCTTATTGGCCAGTTTAATTTAGTTTCCTGCATTTCCTTGCTTCCAGCAATACAGCTGAGTGTTTTTGAGTTTATCTTTGCCTCCTGCTAGTGATGGCCAAATGAAGCTTTCTGAAGCATTGAAGCCTATATTGAAAAAGGGTTCGTTACTTGAAACATTTAAACAGTCCTCTCTGGTGACATCTGGAGGCCAAAATTATGAAGAGCAGCTTAAATCCACAAAATAAAACGAACTGCTTCATTATGATTGCCCACTCTACAGAGTGGGGTTCACAATTCTGTTTGATATTGGGCCACAGTTGTGTTGCTTTGAACATCTATCTTTTTGGTTGAAAAACTTTTTATTTGTTTAATAAATAATTTTGATCAATAAACTTTCCTTGTTTAAACATGCACCATAGTGTGGCCTTTCTTTACTTGTGACTTTTTGATCTTGGTAAATACAGTAAGTGAAAAATACATAATAAATATATATGTGTGTACAACAGATTATGTAGTATGCTTCTGCTGTGAGGTCCCGCATCCATGTACTTATGCAATTAATCGCTGGACAGCTGGACAGGTATGTTTATAAATGATATTATATTAGACCAATTTTCTTATACATATTTTTGACCTGGGGGTAGAATTGATTGTGAACTGGGCCCTATTTCAGGAAGCCGGTTTAGTGCAAACTCTGAGTAAGTATACCCTGAGTTAACGAAAACTCTGGGTTTTCGGTTTCACAAAGCGAGTTTAGATTAATTCTGAGCGAGTTACTATGACAACACACTCCGTGAAGCTAACCTGCCCCCTAGCAGGTTTACTTCAACTAACCCTGACTTTCTCCGCCTCTTTGTCGGAAACCTGACTGTAGGAAGTGTCAGACATGGCGTGTCCCTTGAAGAGCCAGTAGATGTTGAAGCCCAAATTCTCCGCAGAGCTCTCCGCCAGGAGAGAGTGATTAGAGCGCGTTTGGACATTTTATCATTTCCTGATGATTACCTGTGTGAACGTTACCGTTTTTCAGCACAATCTATAATTTATTTGAATAACATCCTCAAGCCTAATATTGCTCATGTGACACATCGCGGACATCCTCTCAGTTCTGTACATATTATTTGTATTGCACTTCGGTTTCTTGCAAACGGGAGCTTTCTGTATAATATTGGTGACGCTGAGCACGTTTCCAAGGCTACCGTCTGTCGGGCAGTCAGGAATGTTACAGTTGCACTGAAACGTCTCCTGTACGCGTTTGTGGTGTTCCCCGGTCATAGACCCACAAGATTTATCAAAGAGGGATGCCACAAAATTGCAGGTAGCAGGATGAACAAAACTTAATTCATGATGTGGTGATATTTGAACTACTACTTAAATTTTACATTTATTCCCACGGTTCCCAGGCGTGATTGGCTGTATAGATGGCACTCACATTCCAATCATTGCTCCTTCAGTAAATGAAGGAGACTATGTGAACAGGAAGTCTTGCCACAGCATTAATGTGCAGGTACATAGTTCCCTGTAGCATTTCAAACTAACAAATTATTTCATTATAGTAATGGATGCTAATTTGTGTTCTCTGCACTGTGAAGATCATATGTGATGCTGCCAACATTATCACAAATGTGGAAGCCAACTGCTCAGCCTCTGTGAGTGGTGGTGGTGGAGGACCCCCACCTGTTTTTCGGGCCTCCGCTTTTTTGCTGTTGGCTATAACGGGTCACATTTGAGCATACAGAGTAAGCAAATATGTACTTGTAATGTGCTCAGATAATTTCAATAAGTGCTTACAGAGGGGAAATTAATGTAGCCTCTAACTGCAATTGATTTACATTGGACAAACAGACCAAGCACTATGGCTCATAATACAATTACACCTTACCTGTTTGGACTATATTTTTATATTTCATTTTTACTTGCTGCCAGGAACGTTTGGGGCCTGTTGGGTTGCACCTGCGCTCACATCACATCACAAAATAAAATGTATGAAATAAAAAATAAAATAAAATATAATATAATAAAATAACGTGTTAAATGGGTGGAAATCCCTAGATCAATGTTTAAATTAACACTCACGCATTGACTCTGTTGGCTATGTTTTGCCATGCATGCTCCCTTTCTTTTGCAGCTGAGGCTGTGTTACATTTTTTCCGCAAAATTTGCATGTTATCGCCCACCCCCATGACATCACGCTCCAAAGCCCTATACTGCCATCAGAATTTCGGCCTCAAGCGCTGTGACATACATTGACCGCGCCTTCTTTCCCTCCGTCTCCATGGTGACTCGCTTAATCTGTGCTCCACTAATCAGGGCTTTATGTATCCTCGTGCGCGTGCTTAACTTGGGGTTAAAGCAACTCCGCGTTGACTGAACTAATTGTTATCAGCCTTTCTGAAACCGAATATTCCGAGTTGGACAGTTCGGGGTTACTCAACCCTGAGTATCGTTTTTCACTCTGAGTTTTCTAAACCGGCTTCCTGAAATAGGGCCCTGATCCAGGTAATCAGCAGCAGGTGGGGCAGGGATATCTCAAAAACTAGCAAGATACTGACCCTCAAGGACTGGAGTTTGACACCCCCGCCTTAAGCATTCATATGAAAGGGGTGGTGTTGACAGCTTCTAACCAATCCTAAAGGGGCATTTCATTTAAAATAGGGGTGTCCAACTCCAGGCCTCAAGGGCCGGTGTCCTGCAGGTTTTAGATGCAAAACAGCTGATTTAAATGACTAAATTACCTCCTCAACATATCTTGAACTTCTCCAGAGGCCTGGTAATGAACTAATCATTTGATTCAGGTGTGTTGACCCAGGGTGATATCAAAACCCTGCAGTACACCGGCCCTTGAGGCCTGGAGTTGGACACTCCTGATTTAACATGAATACATTCAAGAGAGAAATAAATTGCACTTTATCCTCTACATAGAATAAAGTGACTCTACATAGAAAACATATTCCCCCAGCAGTTAATCTGTCTCAAATATGATGTAAATGAAGAAGAAAGTGGTAATGAAACCACTGGCTAAGAGCCAATATAAGAGGAACTGAAAATATGTGCGTGTGGGGAGGTCTTTGTTACTGTTTAAGTCTGTCACTTATTCTTTTTCTAAATAAATCTGCTCAAATAGATTTAACTTGAATTTAACTTAACTATGGATTTTGGTGTGACATCAAAATAAACAACCGCTTAAAAGCAAGATCCAGGATCCTGCCAAATGCTCAAGTATTTGATGAGTTACACTGGTAATCTATGTACAGACAGGAAACCCTTAACTGTTTAATACAACTTCTCACACAAACAGCTGAAAAATTTCCAGTTTTTTTTTAATGGGCCAGAGTTTTTTTTCCAGGGCAGCACTGAGAGCAAAAAGTAGCTGAGAGTTAGTCCACCATAAAAACGGCTACTTACCAGTTTAAAGCAGAAAAGATCTGAGGTGCGGTTCGACAAACAAGTCAAGCTAGAGCAAAGCAGAAACACTAAAATCAGGAAATGTGAAAAAAAAGTGGGAAGAAGGAGATTTAGCTTTAACCCTTTAAAGGCAACAGACATTTAAGACTGAAATACAACAGAAGGAATAATAGCTACACATAGAATATATAAAAGTTTAGTAACGGAATATTAACACAATTGGAATTCATTATAAACTGTGTGAGAACCAAAAATAAATTATATTGAGAATATAATATAAGATAAATTTCTTTATCTTATTGTATTCATATAAAATTCACACATCAATATAATATTCATATACATATAGTCTTTATATAATTACTTATAATATTTATTCAATTATAAATATAAGAGGTTAGATGCCACAGATGTTTGTCAAGCAGCTGTACAGAAACAGCAGAACTTTGAACCTTGGCTGCAGCCCAACAACCATGAGATATAAATAGGAGCAAGGTCATCTCCATCCACTCATTTCTTCTGGGAAAGCAACATCATCCAAAGTGGTCACAGCAACTGAAATCAAAGGGGAAAAAACAATAGTTTTGCTATTTCAAACCTTTGTTGTTCTACAGAAAATTTTTCAAATAATGGTTTTCTCTTAAAGCTGTTATTGTTTGTCTGACCAAATCTGGGATCATACCAAACCGGTTCTGTTTGAGGCCTTCAGGATGTGCTGTTTATTAACAAAAACACTAAGAAAAATGATTTCTCAGCAGCCTGTTGGGTCCTGCCAAGTTGCATTTGACTCTCACCTCTGTACAACTTCTTCAGAAGTCACTTGGATGGGTGACAAAATGTTTCTCCCACTGGAAATGCTACCTCCAGATGAACAGAATCAACTTTTTGGGATTTACTTACCTGGATGGATTATGTGCATGATTCAATGACTCCACTGACATGTTCATACTCAGGTTTGGACTGTGTTTAGGCAGGCTGTAAGTGAAATGAAAAAAAAAAAGTGAAGTGCCATTCAATAAATTTTTGTCCCTAGATAAATGAAAATATTCCAAATTTTAGGAGAAATTGTTGCAATTTAGAACATTTATGAAAGACTTCCAAGCATGAAGTTCATAGGGTACATCTCAAGGTATCCATTTTCTCACTTAACAACACATTAAAAAAAATGCCAGAACAAAATATTTTATGTAAAGTCTTATTGTAATTAATTTTTGAGTAAAATTTGTTACATGTTACTTAATTACAGGCTACTTGTGCCTTAGTCACAGGTTTTGCAGGTGTTTCCATAATTTGGCTCGCATCCCAGAAAGTACTTGCAGTGTACTTGTTTCATTGTTTCTTGCAAAAATCTGACTTCATCGTTCATTGTTGTGTGTCACTATATCTTATAATGATGAATGCATTATAAGAAACTATTTGCCTGTACTATCCATTATTTGCTTATTAGGTACACATAGCGCAAGTCATTGTTGCCTGTTGGTGGTGCACAGGAACACTTTCTTTTCATTTCTGGGATTTGTGTCTGTGTAAGCCTGTTTGTCTTTGTTTATGTGTCAGGTCAGGTCTTACACTCCACCTCTCTGAGAACATCTCAGAGCCCCTCAAATGCCTGTCTCCCCCCACCACACTCCCTGCCAGTGGCTGATGCCTTCACCCATTGATGGTTCTCGGTGTCCGGGGCTGGGTGCTTGGGTGTGTACTGGCTCACTCCCGGCGGTTGCTTGGTGGGGCCTGGCATCTGGGGGCTCTGTCCGTGCCATGTGGACGTCGTATGGGGCTCTCCTTAGCTCTTTTCTAGGAGTGTGGCACGGTCGCCCCTCCAGTGGTCTTCCTTGGGCTTTTGTGCTCCGGGGGTCCTCTAGATGTCTGGGGCCTGGATCTCCTCCATGCCTGCTTCATGCCCTGGGGGACAGGGCTATGGGCTATGGCTCCCCACACCTACTACAGGGAGAAAGCTTTGGAGTACAAGCACACTTATGCATACAGGTGTGCACACAGGTGTGCACAGAAACACATTATCTTCCTTGGTTGCAGCCTTTTATCATATCATGCCCTGTCGGTCTTGTATGTGGCTCAGTAAAATTCAGTATTTATTATTTACTGTTACTTATGCTTATCTAGGTTGTTGCTGTGATTTCCCTACTGTGTTGTTGTCTTTTTGCTTGTTTTATTCTTTTTTTCCCCAGCAGGTGATCTAGTGGATTTTTTGTGTCTCTATCCCTCTTCCCCTCTGTTTTTCTTTCCCTCTCCTTTTCTTGAGCATTTTCCCAACTTCTCTTGTCTACATTTTTTCCTTTCCTATCCTCCGGTCCTGTCTGTTCTGATTGTAATTACTTAAAAAAAATAAAAACATAAATAAATAAAGATCAATCAAGTGGACCAGTATGGCAAAGTCATATTGATCCACTTGGGAAAACATTTGCATTTTTCTTGGCCTTCAGATTGCTGCAGTGCTGATCGGGACAGGCAAAAAAAGAACTTCTGGATCACTTTCATTCACAAGCATGTAAATACAGTATATGCAGAGCCTCCACCCAACTTTTGGTTAAACAAACATTTTTTTCTATTCAACTATTTTAGAGAAATACAATGCTTAACAATTTTTTTTTTTACCACGTGCCATAAAATAAAAACAAACAAAAAATATTTTAGAAATCTGTTTTGTTTTAAACTAAAACTAACTTTGTTATCTGAGTAAAAAAGAACAAACTAAATTTATGATTTTCTACCCGAATTTGAGCCGGCCGACTGGACTTCTCTGAGAACTAAGAAGTTAGTCAAGCAAAACAGAGCATGTTATATTACTAGTCAGTTAAACAAGAGCAAAAACAGCTAGTCCTAAAGTTAAAAGAAGTATTCAAATATTAATTTGTCTTCAACTGTCACAATGTAAGGTGATAGTTGTAAGTTTCAGTAGAACAGAAATTCTCCTTTCTTTATTTTAGTCACTTATTTTGAAAATGTTTTATCTAAATTGTGAGGCACTTTATAACCATCTGGTTTACAAACTGCTGAACAAGTAAGGTTATTATTGTCATGATTAATATTTTCTTCCAGAAAATATAGTAAGTGTGTCAGGATGGCTAGATAACTTGAAGTTAGCCTAGCCAAAAGATATCTATATTTTTTTTAAAATGTTTACACTTTGACAAAAAACACAAAGCAAAAAGGCGAGCATTGTCAGGATCTACACAAGCTAACAGTTGCACTACTATCACAACAGTAACAAATTTAGCCACTTCACTATTAAATTAACTCAATTTCAGTGCACAAGAACACAAAACAGTACCTGTTTCTATTTCAGTTTATTAAACCATCAAGGCCTCGAGTTGCAGAATAGCATTGCACCTGACTCTGCACAAGAGAAAGTCATTAGAAAACACCTAGATGCTTTTTCGGCTCGACTCACTAAAAAGAGCCAGCTCTTTCGGCTCCTAACCGGCTCTTCAGGTTGTTTTGTTGCTTTAATTACTTTATTATCAACAACAATATAAAATTATTCAAAAAAGGAATTACTAATGTAAAATAAATAATGAATTTTATTGGCTGGCGTGTGGAGTGAAGTGGATAAAAGTGCGAGAGAGAAAGAAGAAGAAAAAAAACACGGCTCCAAATAAGGAGCCGGCTCACATCGTTCATGTCAAAGAGTCGGCTCTAAGAGCCGTTTCGTTCGCGACCAACACGTCACTCACTACCTCTATGGTGGGATTGCCGGTCTTAACTTCAGGATGTGTATTGATCTGGAAAGGTACCCATTTGTCTTTAAGTTTGTGTGTGCTTGGATATTTCTGAGCATTGTCGAGTACAGTGAAGGATCCTTATGGTCGGAAGTATACCGTTATGTACTCCATTGTGTCTTCATTATGTTCCCACAGTTGGGCTGCATAAGAAAAAACACTTGTTTCCTACTCTATCTTCTGCATAGGGTCCTTTTTATTTTTACCATTCCTCTTACCATAGCCATCCAGCAGTCTGTGTTCATTTTCATTTATGCTCTTCTCCCTGCCCCTGTATTCATCTTTTCTATAGCAAAGACCCTAAAAGCCCTCCTTGGCCTGTTGACACGTTGCTGCCATGCTTGTGCTGCTGCAGCAAGGACAACACTGCTGCCGATGTTAGTGATGATGGCAGCACAGAGGGATATGCTCATGAAGACAGAGACACATTAGAAGAAATGAAAAAGGGGTCACATGGTGGAGAAGATGGTGACAAATCAGAAAGAGTGGTATAAGGAAATGCAGTCTTCTACAGCAGGAATGTCTAACTCATTTCACATCGTGAGACACTTTGAGCTTAAATAAGCAGAACTAGTGAAACTCCCTTTTCTGTCACTTTAAAGGAGATCAGTAGGAAGCTTCGTGAAACCTGTAAAAACAGTTAAAAGTCCTCAAGACCATAATACATATTACACCATAATTTGTCTGACTTTTAAAGAATTTATTTGCAGTGTGATTTTCTAGGTTTTTTCCCCCCTCATTTTGTCTCTCATAGTTGAGGTACACCTATGATGAAAATTACAGGCGTCTCTCATCGTTTTAAGTGGGAGAACTTGCACAACTGCTGGCTGACTAAATACTTTTTTGCCCCACCATGTTAATGAGTATCTGTACATGTCGGTTTATATGTATATATGTTTTTTTATTTATTCTGTTTGGTTTATTAATATGAGTGGTGGATCAGTTAAAGTGGTGGTTTAATTGTAGCCCAGGATAACTGTTGGGTGGTGATGACTTGTAGAGGTGTTTAGGATAAAGGATAAACAAAGTTATGCTGACAAGTGGTGTTTTCTGTGGTCATCTTCTTCTTTTGTCAAAATAAAATAAAAGTGTCAATCATTGAAAAAGTGGATTTCAAATTAGTCTATATGCGCAGCTTCTGCTGTTTATTCTACTGTTGGCTCTGCATCACATCATACAGAACAGCAATCTCAAATATGGTCCTCTCAAGGATGCAGAAACCCCAACCATTTGTTGTTCAAACTTTTTGTTTGTGAGGGGCAGCCAATCAGAAGAAACTTAATTTAAAGGAACAAAAATGATGTATCAGCAT